ATCGTACGGTGTCGAATAATTTGGTGTCGAATAAATCTGTGTCGAATCGAGCGGTGTCGAATCGTACTGTGGTCAAACGGAACCCGCCCGGATTACAGTACTTTTGGGAATCCTATTATTTTTATTCCGAAACTTTTCATTAAATAATCACGTTACTGTTTTATACCCTTTTTGTTGATCTTCCCATCCTTGCATCAATAACAGTGTTATTCAATCTTTTTTAGATAGCTCCGCTATTCTTAATTAGAGCAAAGAAGAATTAATCAGGTAAGTGAAAGGAAATTGATCTAAATAATTGAGTAGAAAGAAATACTAATTATTAAGTGTTGGTCCAACTATTGATTTGATTATTTCAACCAACACTAGCAAAAATCTCGGTGAACAACTGAAAATTTAATAAATCAATTAATAATATTTACAAAAAATTTCTGAGTTATTGGAAACAAAATGAAAATGTTTGAGACAATCAATTGAAGCGCGATGGCTTCTTTTGTTACAGGAAACATTTTTGGGGCTGTTTGTTTTCGTCTACGAGGTAACTGCTGCTTGCTAAGAAGAAGACAGCACTGCATCAAAGATTAAAATCAGTGATCCGTATTGTTTGCTCAAGAGCTCGTACACTGGTGCCTGCGAGAGTGAGAGAATAAAGATCAGCCCCGCCAACGCTTTCGGGCAGATTCCCGCTAACGCCTTTGGACATCACGCATTCGAGTAACTTTTCGCGATCACCTTCGGGCAGTTTTCCGCCATAGCCTACTAGCATAACCGCTTGAAGCCGTACAACTTTGCTATTGGACAATTTTCCAAAATGCATTCTTACTGAAAATATTAGGGGGATCCGACACTTTTTGATTATTGCATTTTCTTTAAAGCAATTAAGTGGTCTCATTATTTCGCGCACAAAAGTATTCAGGTTATGATTACTGAAAATTAAATAAAATTTGTAAGATATTTTCCATTTTGTGTCAAAAAATTGTTAGCTTCAAACCTTTATAACTCAAAAAGTACTTAATAAAAAAATGTTTTATTATAAAGTTTTGGAACGATCTCGAGATAAGCTATAAAAATATGCAATAAAATGGGGCGTGTTCCGTTTGACCACAGTACGATTCGACACCGATCGATTCGACAC